TGGCATCAGCCTAACTCCCAGTGACTTCAAACTCCAGGGCTCAAGCAATTCTCCTGCCTCAGCCTTCCAATAGCTGGGACTACAGGCGCACACCACAATGCCCAGCTAATTTTTCTATTTTTAGTAGAAATGGGGTCTTCACTCTTGCTCTGGCTGGTCTCGAACTCCTGAGCTCAAGCAATCCTCCTTCCTGGGCCTCCAGAGTGCTAGGATTATAGACGTGAGCCACCGCACCCAGCCAATATGTGATTTTTGAAGAAATTTTATTGGCAGAGGGTAATGCTTACGCAATAGAATGTGATGAATAGAATGCAAAATCATACATATGATATGTCCTTAATTGTATATGTGGTATGTAAGCCAATTAGAAAGAAGGTTTTGACCAGCCTCACACCTGTAATCCCAGCACTTGTGGAAGCTGAGTTGGAGGATCCCTTGCACCCAGGAGTTCAAAACCAGTCTGGGCAACACAGTGAGACCCCGTCTCTACAAAAAAAATTTTTTTAATTAGCTGGGTGTTGTGGCGTGAGCCTGTAGTCCCAGCTACTCGGGAGGCTGAGGCAGGGGATCACTTGAGGTCAGGAGTTGGAGGTTAAAAAATCAAATCAAATAAAGGAGGGAAAGCAAATCCTAAAATTGAACACATAGAAATAAATGAGCTTAACTATATATAAAGTTGATAACCACACAGACAAAAAGAATTGTTTCAACTAACTTTTTAACACAGTGCCCTGACTATGCATGCACAGTAGCCTATATCCTAAGGATAAAACTATAGGGGACAAATAAACTGCTCTGTGAGGAATCCTCAGATACACGCAGAACTGACCACTTGGTGGCTTTTTATAGACAGTATCATGGAAATAGAAATTATCAAAAAGTGAGGGAGGTCTGTTTCAGATTTAAAAGTTTTAGAACAACCAGACAATGCATGGATTATGGTTGTCAATCATAGCCTGAAAAAAAAAAAAAAACTTTACTAGACATTTTGGGGACATTGACGAATTTTGAATTAGGGCTGACTATTAAAAGAGGTTACAAAATTACCGTTAAGTTTTTCAGATATGATTACGTGAGGTGATGGTCTTATTCTTAAGAGATGCCCATTTTGGTATTTAGGGAAATGTGACATGACAGCTGCAAGTTACTTTCAAATGATTCAGCCAAAATAGGTGCATGTAGAGAGCATTTCAGAGAATAGGACAAAATATTAGCAGTTGTTGAATCCAGGTGGATAAGTGGTTTTTACTATTCTTTCAATTTTTCTCTGCATTAAAAGTTATTCTTAATAAAAAATTGGGGAAAACAACAACAAAAAAAGTGGTAGGAAGCAGGGTGAACTCTGCAGAGGCCAACTGCACCAGAGGGGCCTGAAGGCCAGCCAGGCCTGAGCTGCTGCAGCAGATGGGTAGCATTGCAGCAGCAGTGGTATTGACACCTGGTGGTTTGATACCTGGCATTCCAGAGGAATGCTCGAAAGCCATTACCTCAGAAAGGGCAGGAAGAAGCCTGATGGTTTTCTCTAGAAAAAAGCATTCCCATCGGCTGGCTTTCCATCTGTCAGCTGGGACAGGTGCCTCTGGGTTTAGCACGTTGCTCCCAGGCCTCTTCCCATGTTCCAGGTTTACATAGGAGGCCTCACAGACACCTGTCCAGTCAACAGGGCCTGAAACTTGGTTTGCTTTCTCTTGGTTTGGGGCGTTATGAGGTTGGGTAATCTGGTCTGTCTATCACAGCTGGGGGTGAATCAACCTGGCTTGGGTGGTGTAGTCAGGGAACAGCAGTTTTGTTCTTCTATCTGGGATTTGGAGCAGGTCAAGGTGGGTGTAGAATGCCAGCACTAAAGCTATGACTGTGTCTGCCCTTAATGATTCTCATTACTCATCTTGACCTCGGTTACATTGTAAACTCCTACCACTTATTGAGGGCAATGAATTCCATAGGTTTATTTCTTTGGTACATAATGTAAGGCTAGTGGCGGGCACCCCTCCCCTCCCTAGAGAAAAAGGAAGCCCATGAGTCCCGTCCTAAAGGCGGTAACAAAGAACTCTCTACTTGGCCCGCCAAAAGTTCGCACCAAAGAGAAACCCCCATCCCCCAACTCCAAAACTTTTATAAGCCCACTGAACACTTCTGGGTGCACAACTTCTCTGGCCCCCTCTCTCGGGACCAGTGAACTTCACCTGGGAGCACTCTCTTTCCCCCTTCCCCAATAAAGCCTCGTTGCTTGCCCCTTTCACTCTGCTCGTCTTTCTTTCTCTGCCGCCGCCCATCCAAAAACCTTACACATAATGTAGTTCTTTTCTTTTGACTTAAATTGACCTTGAGCAGTGCCTTTTAATTTTACTAATGCAGGACCTGCCTTTTAACAGTGTACAGAGTAAGCATTCCCATCCTGTGGAGGTGTCGCAGCTGTGTTAGTCCTTGTAAGAGAACTGTCTGGGGGAGCCAGCACCCTTTCCTGTGGTCATCTTTAGTCCATATGCCCTCTGACCTCCTTCTTTAGTGCTGACGCATCCACAGCTGGACAGAACTCCCTACCCTTATCCACTTCCAAGACAACATGCAGGCGACTCTTGGCTGCCATCAACCAGAGGGTCCTTAGAGCAGCAGGGACATATTTTTTCAGGGGTCAGTGACATTTGAACACGTGGCCATGTGTTACACAAGGAAGGAATGGATGTGTCTAGCTCTTCACCAAAAGGATCCGGACAAGGATGTGATACTGGAGAATTATGGGAACTTGATGTGGCTGAGTAGGCACCACTCCCCCCACATACACCTCTGGGCTCTCAGGGTGCTTGGGTTGTTCAGAGCTGTGGAGATTCGGTATGCTTTCTACACCTAGAAACAGGACCCTTTCTCCAGGTGATGGGCCCAAGCTCCACAGAGAGCTGCCTGAGGCAGCCCCTCTCTCTGAGTTCCCTAATGATTTTGTACCAATCAATGTTTGGAAGCCAGCTCTGGAGAGGAAGGCAAAGCTGGGGATACATCAGAAAGCATCATCTGAAAGAATAGAGCACTGTGAGGACCAACAGATGGGAGAGAACAAGGGAAGGGAGGAAATCATGGTCCCAAGGGTGGGGCCTACACAGAACACAAAGGATGTCCCTGGGAAGCCAGTACTTTGAGAGGGCAGGGTGGGAGCTGGGGAGTGCTCTGGCGATGGCCAGGCCACAGCCTGTGAGTGAGTGCTTGATGGGAAGGGCCTGCCCAGAAGCTGGAAGGGGAGGTAGGTGGTTGTGTTTTCTGAGTAACTGGGGTGGGTCCGATGGGAACCTCTGAACCACTCTTCCACACGTTTAGCAGTTATTCTACTTGAGGCTTTCTCAGGCCCTCACAACCTTCACTCTGCTCTCCCATTTCCCTGTCCCTTTTACTTTTAGTTCTGAAAACTTCAGCTTGTCTCTACCACTTCTCTTAGTTAAATCCTGCCCCTCCACCCATCCATTTTCTTCTTGGCATATTAGTATCTCCATCTTAATCACTGCTTCGCCCTAGCATCCTCTCTGGAGATCAGAAATCATTTTTGCTGCTTAAATATTACTGTTAAGTGATGATCCTTGTCCAGTGCCTGCACAGTGGGTGGTCATGTTTACATTTTCTTTTCCTTTTTTTTCCTTCCAGATTCCTTAGTGGGGGTTGAGAATGAACAATTCTTTAAAAAAGATTTCTGACATAGCCAAACATGGGATATTAGAAACACAACTTCAGGATTTCCCACCAAGATCTGAGGCCAATGAGGATGTCAGACAACCATCAGGAAAATGCTTTGAGGAAGTCTCTAACTTGGAAGAAAGGTTTTAGTGAAATGACCATATGCCAGGAGAAAATGCTGACCTGGAAGAGTGGCTGGCAATGTAATGAATTTGGAGAAAACTTCAGTTGGAAGTCAAATCTAAATAGAAGGAAAAAAGTGCCAGGGAACCAGGCCGCAGGACAAACCGTACGCGGAGCCAGGGACCTGCTGCGGCCGCCAGGTCCCCACAACCCAAGCAGCTCGGTCAGGGCGGGGCCCGGCGGGACGGGGGCGGGGCGAGGCCTGGAGGGCGGGACCAAGGCTGCGCGGTGGCAGGGAGCACCGGGGCTGGGCTCCCCGCGGCCTCCGCTCAGCCACTCTGGCCCGCGGACCACAGAGAGGCGGGCGGGCCCTCCGGTTTTCCTAAAGCGACCCGGAAGTCGCCCCGGAAGTCTGGGGCGCTTCCGGGGATTAGGCACCGTTTTCGGCGGGTGCCGCATAGCTGCTTTCCGCTGGTGCTGTTCCTTACCGCTTTCGCCAGGTTGGTGGGCGGTTGCACGCGGCGGTGTTGGGCTGGCGTGGCGTGGGGTGGGGCGGGGGATGGCGGACCAGGACTCGGCCCCTTCGCCACCACGTCCAGGGAGCTCTGGAGACTGCGGGGCTTTTTCGCGGGCGGAGCGAGTGCCGGAAGGTTAACCCGAGCTGGGGGCGGGGGCGGACGCCTGCGGGGCGCCAACCTCGACTCCTTCCGCCGGTACCCCGACGCCCCAGAACGGCGGTGCCGCAACCCTTTTAGAGCCGAGGGGACGACGTCTGGATGCGAGCCCAGCCTGCCTCCAGGCCGCCGTGTGACCGGAAGAGGGGCAGCGCGAAGGCCGTTTTCGTGGGAGGCCAGACCTTCCACGAACAGGGCTTGAGCAGCAGGACCCCTGATACTGGCGAGGCAGTGAAGGATTTGGCAATGGATGGTCGTTAACTGCCAGGGTGAGGGGGCCCAGCCTTCCCGGGAGAATAGGGGGCAGTGAAGCCCGTGGAGAGCTCTCTGTGCTTCCATGGCTCCATCATCGCTCCACGCCCCCCAGTCCCGCTGTGCTGTGGGTATTCTGGGCCTGACAAGTGCCTTGGGGACAGGAGCTGTGCTCTGTTGATCTCTGCTCCAGCACCTGGTGGCACTGAGGTGAGCAGGTGCGCTCTCCTCCCGCATAAGCAGGTGCCCAAGATGTCCGTTCAGGTAACGTCACAGCCCTCATCTTTAGACGCCACACATACTTCTGTTGCCACCCCTTGCTCAACTCCTCTTGCCTGGGGGGTGGAGCCGTGTGTGGATCCCAATTCTGTGGTGGAAACAGTGGGGTCTTCTGAATAGACAGGTCTAGCCAGGTTCTAGTCCTTGACTTTGGCAGTTGGGTGTGGAGTCTTGATTTCCTCATCTGTGAGGTGTGAATAATAATTGGTTCTTGCAGAGCTATTGTGAGAATTCAAGGTTGAGTGGTTAATTGGTCTCAGTGTGGTCAGTGGGGGCAGCTGCTGTGTCCCTCTGCTCCCTGGAGCTTTCTCCTAGTTCATTTTTTCATCTTTTATTTGTTTGAAGAACTTATGTGCTTCTGTTTCCTGGTCCTCCTCCCCTGTTCCCCTTCTTTGCCAACTCCTGCTTGTCCTTCATGTCTCAGATATCACTTCTTACTGGAGGCCTCCCGTCTTATTGGGACTGATGTGGTCCCCTCTGCCACCTGCTCTCAGGGACACTTTCCCCGCACCCATAAGTGACTGCCATTGATAGTTCACACTGTCAGCATCCTAAGGACAAGGAACCACATCAGTCCTCATTCATTGACCCAAAGGACATGGGAGTCACTGATCTTCTCTCCCCATCCCTAGGCATCTGCATCTTGGGCCTCCTTTCTGGGCTGACTCATCAAGGAGGAGGAAGCAGCAATGTCTGCCGTGGGGGTTGCAGCTTCCCACCTGCATCATCTTGGTGACAGTCACAGTGGCCGGGTGAATTTTCTGGGGGCCCAGCTCCCTCCAGTGGTGGCAGCAATGGCCCGGCTCCTGGAGGACCTGGACAGGAGCACATTCAGAAAGCTGCTGAAGCTTGTGGTCAGCAGTCTGCAGGGGGAGGACTGCCAGGAGGCAGTACAGCGTCTTGGGGCCAGTGCCAACCTGCCAGAGGAGCGGCTGAGCACCCTGCTTGCGGGTGTGCACACTCTGCTCCACCAAGCCCTCCGGCTGCCCCCCGCCAGCCTGAAGCCTGAAGCCTTCAAGGACCAGCTCCAGGAGCTCTCTATCCCCCAAGACCTGGTTGGGGAGTTGACCAGCGTGGTATTTGGGAGCCAGCGGCCCCTCCTTGATTTTGTGGCCCAGCAGCAGGGGACCTGGCTGCCCCACATGGCTGACTTTCGGTGGAGGGTGGATGTGGCAATCTCCACCAGCACCCTAGCTCGCTCCCTGCAGCCGAGTGTCCTGATGCAGCTGAAGCTTTCAGATGGGTCTGCACACCGCTTTGAAGTCCCCACAGCCAAGTTCCAGGAGCTACGGTACAGTGTGGCACTGGTTCTGAAAGAAATGGCGGATCTGGAGAAGAAGTGTGAGCGCAAACTACAGGACTGAACCATTATTTGGCCAGTCTCATTCAGGTCAGCTGGGGAGGATAGGCTTAGACAGGTGCCTCAGATGGTGCCAAATTGCAGCTGGCTCTTCCCAGGACAGCCCTGCCCTTCCTATGAGGCAGACTTTTCAGTGAGAGTGTTTGAATGTAATTATGTAATCTTCTGTTTAATTGAAAAAAGACAGCTGTGCCTTTCATTTTTTGGAAGTAAAGCAAGTATAAAAAACATGTTTCTCTAGGTGGGTTTTAAACTGCACACTGTCCCCTGGCGATTGGTCTTTGTTGCTGGGTGTGGTCCTGAGTGGCCAGGTCAAGGTCTGGGGTCCAGGTAAAGGCCCTCTGTGGATACCATGAGGTTTCTCAGCCTGGCCCTTGTAACATTTGAGCTTTTCTGCTCATTTGCTTTTGTGAATCCTGTTTTAGGGTGGACATTTTCATTCATTCTTCTGTCTTGAGTCCTTGTCCTCATGGGGCTGATATTCTGGTGGGGGCAGGGAACATTTATTTTTACATATTATTACAAAAAAAAGCATAATAAAAACCTAGTATAGCCGGGCGCGGTGGCTCACGCCTGTAATCCTAGCTCTCTGGGAGGCCGAGGCAGGCGGATTGTTTGAGCTCAGGAGTTCGAAACCAGCCTGAGCAAGAGTGAGACCCCCGTCTCTACTAAAAATAGAAAGAAATTAATTGGACAACTAAAAATATATAGAAAAAATTAGCCGGGCATGGTGACGCATGCCTGTAGTCCCAGCTACTCGGGAGGCTGAGGCAGGAGGATCGCTTGAGCCCAGGAGTTTGAGGTTGCTGTGAGCTAGACTGACGCCACGGCACTCACTCTAGCCCGGGCAAAAGAGTGAGACTCTGTCTCAAAAAAAAAAAAAAAAAAAAAAACCTAGTATAGCTTGTCAAAGGATGGTGAGCAATGCTGTAAATAGAAGAGACTCTAGGTGATGGGGTGGCCTTCCTTGAATATATGACATCTGAGCAAAGATTCCAAGGAGGCAAGGGAGGGCAGGTCAGACAGGGGATGGCTAGCGCACTGGCCACCAGTGGAGGGAGGCCTGACGTGGAAGGCCAAGTGGCTGCAGCCAAGTAGGAGGAAGTCCTTGGAGAGGGTCAGGGCCTGAGGGCCTTCGTAAGGACTTTGGCTCAATTCTCAGTGAAATGGGGAGCCCTTTGAGAGTTTTCAGCAGAGAACGGACTGATCTGGTGATTGTTTAAAAGGATAACACTGGTTGCTGGGTGCCGTAGCTCATGCCTGTAATTCTAACACTTGGGGAGGCTGAGGCAGGAGGATTGCTTGAGGTCAGGAGTTCGAAACCAGCAACTGAGCAAGAGCGAGACCCTGTCTCTACCAAAAATAGAACAAATTAGCCAGGCGTGGTGGTGCCCTCCTATAGTCCCAGCTACTCAGGAGGCTGAGGCAAGAGGATTGCTTGAGCCTTGGAGTTTGAAGTTGCAGTGAGGTATGGTGACTGCACTCCAGCCAGGGCGACAGAGCAAGACTCTATTTCCATAAAAACAAACAAAACAAGGATAACACTGGCTGCTGTGTTGAGAACAGCATGTAGGGGCACAGCAGGAGGTTGGGAGCCCAGGGGAGACGCTGTGGCCAGGGTGGAGTTGTTGGGTGCCAGGGATCTCTCCCAAGGGCCATGACCAGCTCTGCAGCCTACAGCATAACTGTGCTCCAGGTAGGGGCCTTGGGGTTTTGCTCCCTGCAGAGCTGTTTGCCGAGTGCTGTGTTCCCTTTGGCGGTATCCGTACCTCCACGGAGCATTTCTCTGGTCCACTTGTGGTCTGTTCTGTGCTGGGAAACCAGGTCACAAGTCTCAAGCAAGTAAGTAGGCCTGAGCTGCAGGAAATTCCTCTGAAAACAGTTAATGAGCTTTGGTGCCTGCCCTGTCTATCTTGGAAACCCACTCCTTCCCACCTCTGGGCTCCAGGCCAGGCCCTGTTGCCTGCACATGTTGTTTATACAATTCTTGGGCTCCCACCATCTCAATTAAAGCTTTTTCCCTTTAAATGAGGGCCATGGCAATTGAGGTGTGGCCATGGGCAGGGAAAGGAGGAGGCTACCCTTCAATTGCTGAATACAAGGAGGAGAGCTGCCCAGGGATGCTACTGCAGGGCTCAGAGACTGGGCCCAAGGATGGGGCCGAGGCCTGGCCCAGCCTCCTTCAGCCTCAGCCAGAGTCCTCAGGCCCTGCTTCCTGGAAGACAGAAGCTGGACTGGGCCATCCAAGCTGTCTGTGAACCCACTCAGGAGGGAGTGAGGAGACAGATCTGAAAAAAGGACGTGCACAAGTAAAGTTGTGTGCCACGAGGAAGCTCTCCACGTTACATACTTCAGTTCTCAACCATCAGGATATTCAGGAATTTCAAACTCATTATGACACATTTGGGAAAAGCCAAAAAACTAAAAACAAAAGTTTTTGTAAAAATTAAAAAATCTCTTTGCCCATAGACAGCTGTGAAACATCTTGACGTATCTCTTTCCAGTCTTTATATTTACACTGTATGTCTGTCTTCATGTGTTAACACAGCTCTGTTCATTTAACTTTTTTCCTGTGTATGACAGTCATGTTTCATGGTTGCAAAACATAAGTCTTGGTGGGCGTGCTATACTTAGTCATTCCTTTATTAGTGGGCTTCTATTTTTTCTATTAAAAGTCAGAGTAATGTAACTGGTCAAAGCATGCTCTATAGTAAAAGTCTTTAAAGTGGAAACAGCTGGATGTGGTGGCACATGCCTGTAGTCCCAAGTACTCATGGAGCCAAGGCAAGAGGATTGCTTGAACTCAAGAGTTTGAGACCAGCCTGGGCAACATAGACCCCGTTTCTACGAGAAATAAAAAAAATTAGTGGAGTGTGGTGGCACGCACCTTATTCCCAGCTACTGGGGAGGCTGAAGCAGGAGGATCACTTGATCCAGGAGTTCAAGAATGCAGTGAGGTATGATCATGCCACTGTACTCCCCGCCTGGGCACTAGCACAAGAACTGGTCTCTAAAAAAAAAAAAAAAAAAAAAATAGTTAAAAGTAGCAACAGGGGAGGTAGTGTGAACATTTTAAAGCCTGTATTGCTAAGCTTTCATGCCTCAGTAGGTATTTCTCCAGTGCCGCCTATGGGCCAGGCCCTGGCAGTGCTGCTCTGAGCACAAACAGACAAGTTACGGGTATAAACAGAGACAAGCTCACGCTGGGCACTAGTCTAAGCACTTCACGAGTGTCAGCCCACTAACTCCCAGTAAAGTGACAGATTCCTCCTTCACAGATGAAGCACAGGGAGGTCAGGAGCCTGCCCAACGTCACACACCTCATGGGAGAGCTGATGTTATTGTTCATCTTCCCTTCCCTTCCTGCCTCACCTGGGCAAGGCCTCCCTGTGGGCTGATGTCTTCTGTCCCACTGACTTGGTTCATGGCCCATGTCTTAAGACCGTGGAATGTGCCGTCCTCAGGAGAGGCCTCGAGCCCTGAGAACGGAGACCTGGGAGCCAAGCCAAAGTTGAAACCTGCCCACAGACCTGGAACCAGGAACACATTTAGAGATGAAAGCTACCGAGACTGGGAAGCTTCTGTTGTACAGGATTATTGCATCAAAATCTGGCCAGTGCAACCAGAAAGTGGAGACTTGCAGACCAGCTTGGTGGCCCTTCTCACCCACGTCCTCTCAGGGGTCAGCAAACTTCCTGCAAACGGCCAGAGAGTAAATATTTTAGGCTCTATAGGCTGTAAGGATTCAGTCAACTCCACCATGGCTCAAAAGCAGCCAAAAATGAGTGGGTGTGGCTATGTTCCAATAAATGTTTGGTTTTTTTTTTAATGGGTGTTGAAATTTTAATTTCATGTATCACAAAATATTTTTTCCAGCCATTTAAAAACCATTCTTAGCTCCAGGGCTGAACAAAAGCAGGCGGCACGTGGGTGGTGACTCTGCTGTGCCTCCCTGAGCCCAGCTATTACCAGGTAGGGGTGGGGCTAAGCCTGTGAGCCTGCAGGATTCTCCCATACAGAGCAACTGTCCATCCTCATCTGTGGTCAGTCTCCACCACCAGGCCCAGACTCCTGGCACTGTCCACCTTTGCCCCAGGGCCTGCACAAGGCCTTGGACAGAGAACAGATGTCTGCATCTGGGAAATTACTCCTTTGGTTTTGTTGGCCTTATTTAGTTCTCTGTGGAAACATTTTCCTGGTAGATTTCCTCTTCCATGGGTCTCTAATGTCCTGACCTTGAAGCCCAGATGCTCCTCCAAATGCAACAAACATTCCTGGCCTCTGGGTGTGAGCCACCTGTACTGACTGGGACAAGGGGATTTGTGACCTGACTGGGCCTTGCCCCTCACTCTGCCCCATTTTGTTTTTGAAGCTTCCAGAAAGCTCAAGAGTTCCAATTCAATGTCATAAATCAGAGATTACTCTGATAATTGATAGAAAAAGCAATTCCAGGTCAAACTTACGGGTTTAATTTATTAGCTGTCTCCAAAATAGAAATCCAAAGTGATTTTAAATCTATTCTGAAATACAGTTCTAGAGATTCTTAAAATGGGTTTACTGTTACATTTACTGAAGGCCAAACTGGGATACATACCTTGAAAGGATAAAAGAGTATTCCAACACCTGCACTACCCCATGAGCTGCCCTCGTACGGGTCTTGCCCTTTTTTCCCTCTCAGCAAAAGAACCACCAGCCCACATGCCAGCCGGGTGGGGGTGAATGTTTTCCATGTCTTAGATCTCAAATCCAAACAGTAGCTTCAATTTAACATGTGTACTCAAAAACACCCTTGTCTCAGGGCAGGACCACAAATATGTGTGTTTTTCACATGATGAAGCTAAAAAAAGATTCCTCATCATTATGAAGGAAGAATAGAATCTTGGATCCTGCAAAACTCATCAAAAGGGATACTGAGCCTGAGAACTGAATCATGCAGCACTGCCATCCTCACCCCAAAAGAAATAGTGCGTTTTATGCAAGTTCCCACAGCAAAGGTCCTTTGCCTTTCCAGATGGCTCTTCACAGAGTGAGTACAGGGAGTTGCCTAGTTAGTCCTAAATTTTTTAGGGTATGTGGCCCCTATAAAACATGCACATGCCAATTATAAACTTGGAGCTGTAACCCAAATCAATCCCTGGACCTGAATTCTGTTAAGTTTCACACTGACAACGTCAATTGCCAGTTTCTCCACAGAAGTCAGTCAAGAACAGATGAGATCGGCCACTCTGCCTGCTCTGAAGCAGACAACATAATTGACTTTTCCCCACTCCCTTTTTTAATGTTCAACTTGACTTACGTAAAATATAGATTTACTGAGCAGTAATTAGAGCTTCACAAGTATGTAATCATTTGCCATACTACCTACCCCTCCCATCTCCTTTCTTTTCAAATAGCCTTCTCCTTTAAATATGCTGTTCCCAAATCCCTGGATGGAGAGCTCAGGCCACAGCAGGGAGTCAGCTAGTGTGACACGTGTTGCTGCTGCAGAAAGACTGGGCATGGCCGGGTCCCAGAAACACTTTGCCCACTGAAATTAGATTTTAATGTAATTTTCAAATGTCACAAAATAGTCTTCTTTTGTTTGTTTATTTATTTATATGTATGAATGAATGAATGATAGATTCTTGCTCAGTTGCCAGGCTGCAGTGCAGTGGCACGATCATAGCTCACTGCAACCTTGAGCTCCTGGGCTCAAGTGATCCTCCTGCCCCAGCCTCCTGAGTAGCTGGGACTACAGGTGTGCACCACCACACCCGGCTAATTTTTAAAACTTTTTGTAGAGATGGGGTCTTGCTGTGTTGCCCAGGCTGGTCTCGAACCCCTGGGCTCAAATGCTCCTCCCTCCTCAGCCTCCCAAAGTGCTGGAATCAACAGGCATGAGTCATCGTGCCTGGCCTACTACCTGTATTCTTGGAACAGTTTGGGGAACACTTATTTAAAGGAAGTTTTTGCCTTTTAGAGTTGGAAAGGATATTAGAGATTATCATATCCAACCCCTTTAATTTACCCATAAGGAGCTAAAATCCAGAGATAAGCAGGGATTTGTCCAAAGTCTCACAGCTTGAAAAGCCTAGGTCTGACTCTCCCTTGGTGCTTCACCATCCTACCTTAAAAGTCCTTCCGAACCATTTAGAAATGTAAAAACCATTCTTAGCTCTTAGACCATAGAAAGCAGCAGCAAAGGCCTAGTTTGCCAGACTTTGATCCAGGACCATGTTCCTCCATGGGCAGGTCTATTCAAACCTACCCCCAAGTCTGAGGAAGCTGAGAAGCTGAACGTGGCTGGCTTATCCAGTTTCTCAGAAAGAAACATATAGTAGGGACTTATGGACAGAGGCCATGTCGGCCGCCTGTGAGATGGTGGATCCACACCACCACCCACCCAGAGCCAGGATTTAACACCCATAAGGACGGGTTATGTATGACAATTGAAGTCAATCTCTTGGAAAGGCAATAATGCTACGTGAGTCTGCCCAAGGGCAGGATTATGGTCAAGGTTGTTTGGGGGCAGGATTTACAGTAAGAGTAGGTAAGTAGAAATCTTAGAGGCATTCCTGGAACAGGGATTAATCAGAAGTCAACATGGTGAACAAGCATCCCAGATGGAGCCGAGTTAGCCTCCAGAGACCATGTCAGTCCAAAGAGAGAATCCAGGTGCTGAAGCAGAATGAAGTTTGAATCTCCTGCCCCTTTTTGGCCACCTGATCTGAAGGGAAAGAAAGCAGCATCATGCTCAGGGCACAATCTGGGATTTTCAGAGCTTCCCAAATAACCTTCCACTACTTTTGTACTGATCATGAACCAGGAAGTTGCCTCACAAAGGACTGAGGGGAGGCCAGGGAGGTAGAGTCAGATTTTTAATGGGTAGCATTTTGGAGAGGCCAGTACCAGGTGTTGCAGGTAGTGGGGACTGTGTCATGTTCACTGGGTACCTTGACTGGGTACCCATTACTGGGTGGCCCACAAAGCCTTAAACTCTTATAGCCCATTGCCGAAAAAGTCTGCCAAATCCCATGTTGGATGTGAAGGTGACCTGAGCACATTACCTGCCAAGACCCTCGACAGTAGCCCACAGGCCAAGGCAGGGACATCATGTATGTACTCCACAGGGTGCAAGCAGAAGGCAGCTAGGGAAAGGGCAAAGTCACAGCAACTGAAGTGGATGCTTTCTGCCCACGGAGAGCCACCATCCTGGCACACTGGGAGCAGCCCCCAATGGTGCAGGTATAGGTGAGGGGACAACGATTAGAGTTTTACCCCTGGGACCAACACTGCAGCCTGGGCACACACTCATGGCATGCCCAAGCTCAGCAGTAGTGGCTGGTGATCACTCAGACTCCCATCCACAGGCTGTAAAGACAGAAACTCATGGGGACACAACCATCCTGGACTCTGCTGTGCCCCCTGCCACCAACGAAAGCCCCCAAACCTGCAAACACATGGACCAGTATAACCTGTTTCAATCTGATACAAATTTATAAGTAGCTCTTGGGTAATGCCATGCATACTGATTGAGGCCATGACTTCTCAGTGGCCCTGCCATGGCGTTTAACCTAGCAACATGACCTGTATCCCTCTGGGCTACACATTTGTGTATGGGAGAATGGGGCCACAAAGTGTCTATTAAGGAATGGGGTCTTTGGGGCCCAAATATTTCTCTGTAATTACTGGCAGACACCAAACATCAGCAGGTCTTCTATGAGTAGTAACAGGTGGCAAGACTGTCTGAAGTAAAGCCTACCAGTCCCCTTGCAACTGGCTGACAGCTGAATGACAGGACTTTGGGGGCAGGGCTGAGGTCAGCACTGCCCTTGGCCTCTTGCTGCTGCATGGGGCTTGTGGATAGTAGCTTTAATTAGATGCTCTGTGAGAGGATCAAATGGATGTAGTCCCAGCTGCTCTTAGGTTAAAGGTGTGGCTAATGGAGTGGCAGATTTGTGTCAGAATTGGATTCCAGCCAACAAAGCATTAGGCCTGAGCAGATCACTGAGAGAAGTGATCTGCCATCAGCCAGGCTTCCCTACATGTTCTTACTGTGTGCAAAATGAAGGCCTTACCATGCTTCACCTGGGCCATTTCTCAAGGCTATGTTGGCAGCAGAAAACCCAAGGGATGAGCCAATGGCCCTCAGCGCCCAACAGAGCAGGCTTGCTCACAATTTTCTCCAGACACACATTCTGTGAATGTACCCACTAGGGCTCTCTGCACCGCCCAGTGGGACGTGACAGCTGAGGGGAGCGGATGTGGCTTTGACCACCACTGTGAGCAATCCATCGGCCATCTCTTCCCAGATGAAACAACAGGATCTTATTATCCTGTAGAAAGGATAAAATCTCAGACCCTGATAGTTCTTGGCAGTTTGTGTTTTAGGCTTAAGAATTTGGGGGAAATTTGTTATAGAGCATAAACAATACACATCCTGACCTCTCTGGGTGGCTTCCTCTGTATAGTGGGGTGACTGGACCAGTAAGACAGCCATCCAGCATGAAGGTCTGGGTCCCTGTCCTGGGGTGTGGCTGGAGATGCTGGCGCAGACTGGGGGGTGCCTGCGTTCATTCAAGTGATCATTCTCCGCCAGGCACATTTAAGATGCGTTCCTGTATATAGTTTTATTCTTATCACTACTGTGTAACAGTGCGTATTTTCAGATAAGCAAATAGGCTTTGAGTTCCAGTGAGGGCAGTGATGTCCCTGAGCAACATAGCAAGCCCCAGGTATGACTTCAAAATCCTTGCCATGACACCAGGATGGTTTCTGTGCCTAGCACTGATCTGTGCACAAGGAACACCAAGAACACCAACGATGATGACATGTATTTGCTCACCCGGCCTACCTCTCTGAAGAGGGCGGTTCTGGGACCCTTTGGCCCTGGTTGATGAGTTTTAAGAAAAGGAGTTAGGTGAAAAAGTTAGAAGGGAATTCTAGGCACTCCTCTTTTGGTCTTCCTCTAACCTAAGCTAATACATCTCCTTATTGATGAAGACAGTGTGAGCAGCTGATCCTAGAGGGAAAACATTTTGGGTAACTTCTTTTAACTTACTCAGCCTGACAGAGCCCATAGGGCCTTCCTTGTGCCTTTTCCTCATCCACAGGGACCTGGGGTCTCCACTCTGTGAACTAAAAACTCTGCACATTCACCCTGAGTGCAAGGGACACAGGCTTTATTGAACAGGTTAAGGTGACACATTCCAGCAAATAAACACATTTTGTATGAAGTTGGATACTCTTTCTTAAGAGAGGAATTCTGAATCGTTCCCACCCAATATTCTAAATTTTTGTCAGTATAAATGACCACATATAAAATAAGTTAAGGCTATAGGTTTATTCACATTTATACAGGTAAATGGTCTATCCCATGTGGATTTTCTGATGCTGAGTAAGCCTTGAGCTCCGATTAAAAGCTTTGCCACAGTCATTACATTTATAAGGCTTCTCTCCGGTGTGAATTCTCTGATGTATAATTAGATGTGAGCGCCACCTGAATATTTTGTCACAGTCATCACATTGATGCAGTTTCTTTATAGTATTAACTTTTTTCCGGCTCACAAAGTTGGAACCTTCCAGAGTATTTCCATATTCGTAATACCACTGGGCTCTAGTGTGTATACGCTGGTGTTCAATAAGATACGAGCTCCGACTGAAGGCTTTTCCACATTCACTACACTCATAGGGCTTCACACCTGCATGAATTATCTGGTGTTGGAAAAGGGTGGAGTTTTGGCTGAAGGCTTTCCCACATTCGTTACATTTGTAGGGCCTCTCTCCAGTGTGCACCCTTTGGTGTATTGTAAGTTGTGTGCTCATACTGAAGGCTTTTCCACACTGGAGGCATTCATAGGGCTTCTCTCCCTTATGAATTCTCTGATGGTAAATAAGGCTGGAGCTCTGGCTGAAGGCTTTTCCACAGTCATTACACACATAAGGTTTCTCTCCAGTATGGATTCGCTGATGCTGAATAAGGTGTGAGCCCTGAACAAAGCCTTTTCCACACTCATCACATTTAAATGGTTTTTCTCCAGTGTGAGTTCTCTGATGGCGAATAAGCCGCGAGCTACACCCAAAGGCTTTTGTACACTTGTTGCATTTATAAGGTTTCTCCCCAGTGTGAATCAGCTGATGCTGACTAAGACGAGAGATCCACCTAAAAGCTTTCCCACACTCATCACATTTAAACGGTTTCTCTACAGCATGAATTCTCTGATGTGCAACAAGGCTTGAGCTATCTGAGGCTCGGGGGATTTGAGACTTCTCCCCAGCATGCATCCTCTGATGCTGAGCGAGAGTTGAACTCTGGCTGAAGGCCTTCCCACACTCCTTGCACGAGTAGGGCCTCTCTCCAGTGTGAGTTCTCTGGTGTCTGACCAGCTGTGACTGCTGACTGAAAGCTTTCCCACACTCAAGACAACCATAGGGCCTCTCTCCTGTATGGATTCTCTGATGGTGGATGAGGCTTGAGCTCTGACCAAAGGCTTTCCCACACTCCTCACATCTGTATGGCTTCTCTCCAGTATGAATTCTTTGATGCTGAATAAGTTTTGAGCTCAGGCGGAAGGCTTTTCCACACTCAATGCATTTAAATGGCTTCTCTCCAGTGTGGATTCTCTGATGCTGATTAAGCTGTGAGCATAGCCTGAAGACTTTCCCACACTCCATACATTCATACGGCTTTTCTCCACGGTAGTTACTTGGATTCAAGCAGTCAGGTAATTTTTTTTGGCATTCGTAACATCTGTTAGGTTTCTTCTGCATATTAATTTCCCAATGCAGAGTGACGTCTGAAGTGGACTTGAAACTTCTGCCACAAACCTCGCATCTCTGGAGAGTCCCTTCTGTACTCTCTCTCTGACTTTTTTCAGACTGGCAATCCAGGCCACTGCCCCCCAGCTCCTTATGTCCCTGGACACTGTCCTTGGTGAGGGTCTTGTGAGCCACAGTCTGCTCATTCAAACAGTTTTTCTGGAAGACAGAGCCCATCACTCTCACCCCAGGACTGCTCAGATGACTCTCTGACCAGAACTCAGCATCAGAAATGTCTTCAGAGCCAGGACTCTGAGGAAAATCCTGGGGGTGGATTCTGACCATCTTCCCAAGGGATTCTGATTTTAGCATGTCCATGTCCTCACAGGCCTGTTCACTGCCAGTCCTAATTATATAATCTGAAATAAACAGGAAATAAAAGAGGTCTTATGTCCTGTGCTCAGAGAAAGGACAAAGACTACCAGGTATGGGGGTCAGGGGTCATCATTTCCCAGGACAGACTGCATCGAGCACTGCAATACACCCCAAATGAAAAACACTAGGAGGTAAAATGCCTCTGGCAGTTCTCAAATTTTGGTTTCATTTATACTTTTTATTTTGTTCATTCATTCAACAATGAAGTGCTCATCATGTACTAGGTAGAGTGCTGAGAGCTACACATCCTAAGTGGGTACGTAGCAATGAGGTCCATCCTATGAGGAACTGGTGTAAGGCAAAGTCTATGAAGCAACAGAGTGTGACTAGACAAAGCAAGCCTGAGAGGATGGGACACTTAACAAGAGGGGACTACAGGCTCCCAGCATCCTCCCTGGTGAGGAAGGACAGAGGGAGTCTGAACTGTGAACAGAGGGGATGGGCAGGGGTCAGAAAGATGGAGGCCGAAGACCTGCCGAAGGGCTTACCTGGGTGGGCCTATAAGGGCGCTGGGTACTCAGGCTGTTCATGGCTCTTCACTGGGGAGTGCTTCTCTGAGCAGGACTCTAGATCCCTCAGCTTCCTCCAACTCTCATCAACTCATACCTGACCCCATCCCTTGCTAGTCCTTCAGCCCTAAGTGGCCAGCCCCACTAGCCCACACTGAATTCTCCTTTCCTGGGGTTGCAAGTTTCTGGAGGGGTGCACTTATCCACACCTCCCCCCCAGGAGGCCTTCCTGACATCTGCTTTCCTTCTGGACTCTCCAGATACACATAGGCTTCTTTCTCACTGTGCCATCACCCTGATGAGGTCAGATGTCTCCCTGATGTCCGTAACCACACGGCAGTTGTATGGCCATAGCCATAACCAGTCTGAGTCTACCCCACAGTGAATCCACAGCCCAGTTACAAGGCTTCACCCTCTCGGTTTCTGCCCACTCCTAATCATTGGTGGCAATTCACAAGTTTCCAGGGATTTGCAAAGGTCTTCCAGTCAATCCTGCAGTGAGCCAAGGGCTACCACTGAATGAGCCTCTTCTGTGTATAAGGAATAGTTCCTGCTCATTCTTCAATTGATTTTCAACAACCCAACGAGGTCAGTGGAATCCCCATACCTCAGACAAGGTGACTGGCTCAGAGGTCAAAGCAGCTTGTACAAGGCCACACAGCTAGAGAATCAGGAACAGGCTCAGGTCTGTGCGCCCAACTCAGCCCTTTCAACCTGCGGTGCGGCAGGAGTATGCATTGAGTGCTGTGAAGACACAGGACACCTACATGCCTGATCCTGGCCCACTTCTCTTCTCCCCCACACATCACACAACCTTGGCAACAGCTCCCTTGACAGGGCTTGTGTAGCCCTCTTTCCGAGCCTTCCTCTACCACGGGGATGGGAAAGCAGGCCAGAGACATGCAGCAAGCACTGTTCCTCCTCTGCCCCTGCCTGTGATGTGGAGGCCCCTGAGTAGAGCTGGAAGAGAGCATGGTGCAGCCCCTGGCACTGCTGAGACAGGAATTGACCAGGGCCTCCTGTTGCAGGAGAACAAAACCTCTATATGGTTAAGCTGTTTGTGGCCAAGAGCACTGACAACCTAAGGACGAGGATGTCACAAAACCACCCAACTGCACTCGATTTTCCCTCCCTCTGGTTCCCTGTGACTAGATCTATAAGAAGTTTGGGTTACACTTTAAAGTTCTCACCTCCCTGCATGATACCAGCGCACCACCCAGCCTGCTGCAGCATCAGCCACAGCTGCCTCTGGCTGCCTGGCCTTCCACAGCCGCCTGGGTCCAGGCAACCTTGGCCTCCTGTGTGGCCTTGGCTTGTGTGGCCTGTTTCTTTCTGTCCCTACTTACCACTGACAGCTTCCCCCATGGCAGCCCCCCAGGGACCTGCAACTGAAGCCAAAGGTTCTCTCCCCTTCTCTCCCAGCAAGCTTTGGATAACTGATGAGAAAATGCAAGCACTTATTAAAAAATGAAACCTCACTCTGGAAGTGGTTGTCCCTCACAAAGGGGGGTGCATGTCTTACCAAGGAGCAGAGGCTAAGCACGGGCTAGGCTGACAGACAGGCCTCCAAGGGGTGCCAGGAATCACCCACCAGGGGCTATGCTGGTGGGCAAGGGTGTGGGGAGGGCCAGCTGAGACCCTGCCCTCTCTCCCACATTCTCAGCCAGTATCCTTGGATATCAGATGCTCACTGCACCAGCTGGAGCAAATAACATGTCTGGGCATTTCCACTTTACTTAACACATTCTGGTTTTGTGTATTGAATATTCTAATCTCAGAGGCTGCATTCCTGCCCTACACTCAGGTTTGCAAGCAAGTGCTCGGGTGCATCAACAGTGGCTCTCACCTCAATGCAGGTGATACTTTATGTTGTTCCTTCGTCACAATAAGGACCACTTGTTACGTATAAACCCACTGAACTACCTAATTCTGCCTATTGTAGGTGGTTTTGCCATGGTGCAAAAATTTCCCCTCCACCTTGAAAATATTTTAATGAGGGGCTGGGGTTTTTCGTTTTTTTTTTTTTTTTTTTTGAGACAGAGCCTCACTCTGTTGCCCCAGTTAGAGTGCAGTGGTGTCATCATAGTTCACTGCAACCTTCAACTCCTAGGATCAGGGGATCTTCCTGCCTCAGCCTCCAGAGTAGCTGGGACTACAGGTGTGCACCACCACGCCCAGCTGATTTTTTTCTATTTTTAGTAGACACAGGGGGGGTCTTACTCACACTCAGGTTGGTGACCTTATTTAATAACAGGGTCATTGCAGATGTAATTAGTTACACGGAGGTCAATATAGTGGCTCCTAATCCAACATGACTAGTGTCCTTATATGAGACAGCCATGTAAAAATAGAGACACAAGGAGATGGCCATGCGAAGATGGAGGCAGAATTAGAGGGATGCAGCCATAAGCCAAGGAGGCCAAGGGTTGCCAGAAAACCACTAGATGCTGGTGGTTTCTAGGGAAAGTTTCTTTCCCTAGAGCCTTCTCAGGGAACATGGCCCTGTGGACACTTTGATTGCAGACTTCTGGCCTCCATAGCTGTAGGACAATAAACTGCTGTTGTTTTAAGCCTCCCAGTGTGTGGTGTGTTGTTGTGGCAGTCCCAGGAGATCTATGCACCCTGAAGCCTGATCTGAGAGGCTGGGGCCACCTGGGCTCTGAGAAGTTCTGGAAGGAGCTGCATCAGGAAACATGTTTACCTCAGGAGAGACTGTCTAGAGCCAAGTTTAATGCTTCACTTGGATCCATAGGTTTGTATTTTTGCTTAGTATTAGTAAAACGGAAATTGAACAAAATGTGGTATGATTTCAAAAACTCCCTTTTTTCTGAAATGAGATATTCTGTGGCTTTTCTATGGTTTGGTCTCTCCCAAGGCAGCCCCATAATTGGTCTATATGCTTCCTCCGATGGGCTGGCCCCCAGTTACCCAATGGTGCTCTCAGCCAGCATGGTCGTTGGGACCCACCCCCAGCCTCCACCTGAGGTTTCTCCTTAAAGAGCTTCTCTGCAACAAGGCCTGAGCCTCACCTGTCTGAGAGGTCCTTGGTGCCTCTGTCCCCTCCACTCCCTGCAGGTCGAGGACCCACGGCTCCTGTCCCTGCTCCAGCCGGGAGATCAGCTCAGGCTTGAAGACCAGGAATCCTGCTGTGTGTGCGGCAGAGAAGGAGATGGTGTCGGCGTGGTGGGGAGCATGGCCCAGGGCTGAGCCGCCCCTGGTTTCCAGGCATAAAGGAGCAAGGGGCTGCCAGGGGACAGGCAGAGCCTCTGTGGGATGGCGGGTCAGGTGGGCACATAGCAGCCCTTTCTGTCCAGATCTGTCCAGCTCCTGAGGCTGGACAGCAAGAAATACCTGGACTCCCATGATCTCCAGGGGACTCTGCCAAAGAGTCGACAAAGAACAGGCTAGCTCTACCCCTGGAACTCAGGAGAGAGGGAAAGAGAAGCCCAAACACAAGCCAACACTTCACTCGGCAGAGCTGGGCTGTCTCCCAGTTCAGAAAGCAGGGGTGCTCCAAGAGGTAGGGGTAGTTAAGACACAAGGTTAAGAACAACAAAAATAAACAAACGAAGAGAATTTTAAATCAGAAAGCTCCAAGGTCCGATCCTCACCTGGTGGCCTCCCAGCCTTGAGTCCCTGTGCAAAGGACCTCTCAGGCCCTGGTTCCTCTCGGTAGACTCGGAAGTGGTGGAGACCTGTGGAGTGCCCACCTGGCACCCTACCTTCACAGGGCCACCAGTCCCCATTCCCATGCTGTGGAACAGCCCCACACCCCCTCCAATGCCAGTCAGTACAGGAATCTAAGGGCCAGCCAACTCTTCCAGCTGGAGGCTTCTCCCTTCAAGGAGGAAAAAAACAGGCAAAGAAATTCTAAAGGTCTACAGCCAATAAGCTCAAGTCCTCAGAGGTAGGCAGGACTCTACACTCAACAGGAAACACGTGTTCTCTCCAAGCACAGCGGAACAGAGAAACATCCTTAGGTCAGGCCATGAAGGGAGCCATAGATGTACCAAAGAACAATACTGCAGAACATGTACCAACCAAATGTATCATAATGAAATTAACCACAGAAGCATAGCTTAGAAACTATTAGCTACTTAAAAACTAAATAATGAATTACTATTTTATTTATTTACTTATTTATTTAGAGACAGGGTCTCACTATGCCTGGCAAAATTTTCTATTTTTAAATATGTCCACTAGAAACCAGAATTGTAAAACACAAATGAGGTAAATATTAGGCTCAACATACAACAAACCCAAATAAACAGAAAGGAAGCAAATAATGAAGGTTAGGCAAGATTCAATGAAATAGAGAACAAAGACACATAACAACATCCTCCACTCCTACCCACCTTCAAAAAAAGACCAGCAAAGCCAAAAGCCAGTTCTTTGAAAAGATTAATGACAGTCTCATGACAAAACCGATCAAGGTCAACATAGTGAGAAGATGCTGCCAAAAAATAAAGAATAAGAGAAACAACTACAAACAGATTAAAAATGAAAGGAAAGGCCAGGCGTGGTGGCTCACGCCTGTAATCCTAGCATTTGGGAGGCTGAGGCGGGAGGATCGCTCGAGGTCCGGAGTTCGAGACCAGCCTGAACAAGAGCGAGACCCCATCACTACTTAAAATACAAAGAAATTAGCTGGACAACTAAAAATATATATAGAAAAAATTAGCCGGGCATGGTGGCATGTGCCTGTAGTCCCAGCTACTTGGGAGGCTGAGGCAGTAGGATTGCTTAAGCCCAGGAGTTTGAGGTTGCTGTGAGCTAGGCTAACGCCACGGCACTCTAGCCCGGGCAACAGAGCGAGACTCTGTCTCAAAAATAAATAAATAAATAAATAAAAATGAAAGGAAAGAAAAACATACAAAAAATGTGAAAACCTAAATGAATGGATCAATCTGTAGAGAAACTAAAAACGATAAAATTAGTACAAGTGGAAATTCAAAAGCTTGAGTAGACCATTAAAGACACATAAATGCTAGTCCAAGACCTTCATTCCCCAAAAGCCCAAGGCCCAGGTTTTACAGATGAGTTCTACTTATATGCCAAATGCCATTTGCCAAAATGCCAAAATTATGTAAGGACAATACACAAAAAGAAATATATAAGTCCATTTTGCTTATGAACAGGAATACAAAAATTCAAAATATTGGCTAGCTGAGTCCAAAAGTGTACCAAAATTTATATATAAATATCAGGATTTAAAGAGGGTTTATTCCAGGAACACAAGAAAATATATCAATGTAATTTCCTTCACTAATAAAGAAAAAGAATCATATGAGTATCTCAATCGATGCAGAAAAAGAATCTGAAATTCAATACTTATTTCTGATTAAAAACAAAACTCCTTAGCCAACTTTTCCTGTGCTTATGTATATGCATTCCCTTTAAAATCAGGAACCCAACATGCATGCCCACAGGGGTCCTGTTTAACACTGGGCTGGCCCCTGCTAAAGTAGAGAGATGTGAAGAGGGAGGGCTGAGAGAGAAAATGCTCAACTCATCTGCACACACCCTGCTCCAGGAAAACACAACAGAATCACTGAACTAGCACTGACCAATACTGAACTAGCAAGGAAGCACCACGGAGTTGCCAAATATACAATCAGCCTCCAAAACCAATAGCATTTCTGTACAGCAGCAATCAGGTAAAAACAGAGTAACATACACTCTCAAAGCCACAAAAACCAAAGCTTCTAGAATGACATGAGACCACTCTGTTTCAAAACACTAATAAAGTTTGCCTTCAGGATGGGATAGGAAAAAAAAAAAAAAAACACTAAAAAAGGACATAGAAGGTAAGTAGAAAAAAGGCAGACACCTTCCATGGTCTTAGACAGGAAGAACATTTGCTATCAGAAAGATGTTAATTCTCTTTATACTAGTTACAAATTCAAAGCACTCCCAGGTAAAGTTCTAGTGGCCCTTTTCAGGAACTCAACTTATTCTAAATTTTTTTTTTTTTTTTTTTTT